TTTGACTATTTTGGGATCCGTCGGAAATCCGTCGGAAATCCGTCGGAAATATTTCCGACGGAATTTCCGCCAGAAAAATCCGTCGGTGATGCCCTTTTTTTTAGTAGTGTATCAGTGACTTCAGTTGCGTTAAGATGTATATATATACAGAGAGAGATAATAAAAACTTACTTGACGAGATTGCATTTGCCATTGTTGAGCCCCAAATGGAGAAGCTTGTGGTTGAGGTATGCCTTGACCCTGGGTTGAAAAAAGAGGGGGTCCTGAAGAGGGCTGCATCCCACTCAGAGGTGCTGAAAAGGGGGGAGCTGGTTGTGCTGGCCTTGGTGGTGCATTATTGGACTGACTTTCACCAGCTGAATTCACACTTTGTCCCGAAAAAGGAGGAGCTGCAGGTGACATGGTTTGCCAAGGAGGCGGAGGTCCGGTTGATGGTCTTGATCTAACATTGGCTGGAGGATTGTTAGGACCTTGCATACCACCTGGACCAAACGCTGGTGGTCCGTTACTCATTGAACCACCAGGTGGCGGCACGGATGGACCAGTTGTAGGGGAGGATGCAAACGGACCAGGACGTGGACCTGGAGGAGCCACAGTAGTACTCGTCGAAAATGGTGAAGGGCCAGAAGGCATTGGCCTCGAAGCAGATGGAGGAGGTACGTTACCACCAGGAGGGCCACCACCACTACTTGGTCGATTAGAGGCCATGAAAGGAGGCAATGTACCTTGTGGAGATCCAGTAAAAGGTGGCACTGCACCCCTGGGAATGACACCTGGCGGTGGAGGCCCTGGACGACTAGGTCCTGAAAATGGAGATGATGAAGGGAATGGTTGAGATTGTGGTTGTTGGCCAAACGGAGGAGGTGGACCTCTAGGTCCACCACCAGCATTAGGAGGCTGGTTAGGGCGATTGATTTGTAGGTTTTGCATGTTATTGGCAATGGAGTTTGGGTTATAATCCGGCGGTAGATTGCCGGTTCTAGGTCCACCGGGAGTTGCCATTGACACACGATCGCTACAAGAATAAACCCCGCAACAATTTCACACTACAATGCATAAATGTTAAGCTTTTACACATCAGAATCTAACAATGAACAATCCCTATAAACAAAAAAATAATACAAAACACAACCGATAAACTTTGTCAAAAACTAAACATACATTCAATTAAGATCCATAATTCTTAGATGAATTCAAGTGACACAAGCAATTTGATAGACATACCTGTAGTTGAATACCACTGATCGAACAGTGACGAGGAAATTTAGGGAAATCAAATTGAAAAACGTTTGCAAAGAAAACCAGCGAGGATCAAGGAAATGCAGAAATGGAGAAGGGGTTAGTTATTTTGTATCGTTTACTGTTATGCCTAGTTGGCTCGGTTTACGAGTTGTACTTTGTGCATAAAGTGCGGTACTTTCAAAACAAGATCGGGTCACGGGGGTCCGGTTGCATGGCGGGTCTACTCAATTCGGTTTGACTGATGCAGGTTATAATGGGTCGGATCTTTTTATTTCCGGTTATAAACGGATCGGATCTTTTTATTTTGCAGGTTGTAATGAGCCCACATTAGAAGGTCCAGCCCATCTTAGTTTTTTCGTGTTTAAGTAATTAGAGTAGATCATGTTTTTCCCTCCTATATGGTTTGTTAAAAATTAGGGGTGTTCATGGTTTGAGTTGATCAGGTTTAAGACATTTTAACAATCTAACTAAATGTTTGCGGTTTGAAAAATCTCAATCCAACCCAAACCATACGGGTTGTCGGATTGATAATTTGGTACATCAAAATATTCTTGTTACTATTCAATAATTTGATTATGTTATTTTCTCTACTCATAGTTTATTTTTCATTATCAATCTTTAGGTGTAGCTTATCCATACTCTTTATAAGCTTATCCATACTTCTTACAAGTGCGTGATGACGTAATTGTGTAATGTACATATTAATAGAGACTTGACAATCATATTAAATCCAAAAAATAAAAGAATATTTGGCTTATCGGGTTGGGTTGGGCTGGGTTCAAATGACCGTAACCTGACTCCAACACAGTTGCTACGGTTTGAAAATTTTACATCTCGATTAGATATCTGGTTGCTTCGTGTTGGTTATTAAACGTTACGTTGGGTTGGGTTTGCTGAGTTAGTCGGGTTTTTGAGCACCACTATTAAAGATTATGATTTTTATCTCTGATGGTTTACAAATTGTGGTTTTAGTCCATGTGGTTTGTAATTCATTGCTATTTTTTTATGGTTTACAATTTATTGTTGTTTCGATTCTTGCAATTTACAATCATTTTACATTTCGGTCCCTTATACTTTAAAGATAGGAATTAGCCCAAGGATTAAAAAACAATAAATTGCAAACTATAAGAATAAAAACCATAATTTCTAAACCACAAAGATAAAAAAAATAGAAATTATTAACAAACCACGGGGACAAATCGTAATCTACTCAAGTAATTAAGCTGATGAGTAAACTACAGTTTTAGTCCCTGTGGTTTGTTAAAAATTGCTAATTTCATTCTCGTACTCTTGAAATTACGGTCTTTGTCTTTATGATTTATAATTTATTGTTGTTTTTGTTTTTGTGTCTCATACTTAACAGTAAACCATTGATAAAATTAGTCTCGGGAAGAAAACAAAGTGAATAGCAAACCACAAGGACTAAAACCGTAATTTCAAAATTATAGAAATAACAGTCGGATTTATTAACAAACCATAAGACAAAACACATGATTTACTCTAAGTTAATTGTTATTTTCTTCTAAACATTACTGATGTTTTTCTTATTATTTCGTAGCGGTCTACTGTATTTTTTAATACTGCATATTAAATGATGTACAAGTTCTTGACCAACAAATGAATCAAATAAAACGATTCTACTGTTTTTATTCATACACTGTCTTTTATGGATCGCAATCGAAATTCGTTTATTCTTTGACCATCTTTAATTAACGGAATCAGATGAGTAGTTGGAGTGCTTAACGATCGTTGCTTACAGTTTGTTCAGAAATGATTACTTTTATGAATGTTGAAGGTATATTACAAACCATGTGAGTTGTCCTCCTTCGAGTCCACTTGTTTGGAGGGTCTACTGGAATAATGTGTGTTTGGTGCTTCCATGAGTCCTTTATCCCTGGGGTTGGATGGACTGATTACTACGTAAGGTTTCTGGGCCATTCAACAGTGCTCATTCATTTTGCTTCGACACCCTAAAAAAGCAAACCGACAAACCATAAAACTCGACAAAAATCAAGAGATTCATGACGGAAGAATCTACATTATAATTAACCACTCACATGATACAGATATAAAGTACGATCAATGTCTTGTCGATGACTTGTTTGCACGTTTATACTTCATCAAGTGTGATTCTCGTTTGGATGATTGTGCGTTAATGAACCAAAACACATAAATCGTGCATGTCCAAATCAAGATCTCAACATTTCGAGTACAACTTGCATAAAACGAGTCTATCATGCATCCAGTAGTAATATAAAGTCATTTAATGATATATATTTAAATAAAACTTGTTGTAATTTTTATGAAATAAATCGAAATCGACCAAGACCACTCATGGTGTGTGGGTCATGTAATATTGGACACACATGTGACTTGATGATGACCATTCATGAGGTGTGGCCCATCTTTCATTGGATTCACATGTGATTTAAGAGACATCATCACCCTATATTTGATCCAAAATCCCAAAATTATTTGGTCAGGGTTAGAACACTTACGAACTTTTTTATCTGATGGTTCATAAAAAATGTGATAGCGTTTTTATATACAACTTTAGTGGTATGGCTGTAAAGGAGATCCAACTGTTCTCTTCATTCACCATCTTCATCTATCTTGATCCACATTCAAGTTCACGTTCACCTTCATCCACATTCGCATCCTTTCAGTCACCTTTACGTGCATGAAGTTGTTAAAGTCTCGGTTATGGTGATAGAAACAGATATGCATATGTAAATGAATACATGTGAATGAATGCGATGAAGACCCTGTCTCTCTTAAAAAAATACGAAAGTGTCCATCCTTTACAAAGAACGCAACGATCAGATATGTTGGATTAGCAGAGATCAACGCTCAAAACTGTTCTCACCAAGGTCTGAACCTATCAAGATCGTGGGATGATCATTAAAGACCTGATGAATCATGAACATCATATTAAAAACAGATAAAAAGTTTCATTTAAGCAGTTATTTTGGACTATAATAACAAGATTTCTCTCTTTAACTTTTATGGTACCAAAGAGTCTTGATCCATGAAGCACGGGACCAGGTTCATGTGTCAGGTGTCATACATATCGAGTGTCTGGTTGTGTTTTGAAAAAAAACAAAAATGGGTGTGTCAATATATCCTATATGAAATATATTGCGTGTTAAATATAGTAACATATAAAAGTGTTTGAATTCACATCAACAGTCTCTGAACCATTACAGATAGAAAAAGAAACAAAAAATACCAACCATAAAAGACTAATAATCACATCAAACTACAAAATAAAATAAAAACAAAACAATATTTTTTTTATTTAGTTAGTTATACCAATATTTGGTAAACATAAAATGGTTGGGTGATGTAGAAACATACCCACCTTTTATATATATTTCTATAAATATCTCAATTAATTGGGTTGCAAGGGTTGTACAAATGCATAAGGTTGTAAAAGAAATATACCCTATATATATATATGTATATATATAAAAGCATTTAAAAAAAGTGTAGCTAAACTGAAGCATTGGTTAACTTTGATAAAAATAATAGATTTAGTTTTTATTAAAAATGATATCTTCAAATATTTTAAAATAAACAAATAAAAGGCAAGTGTTAGTGTGTGTGTGTGTGTGTCCATAGTGCACACTGCACAGTGCATATACACAAATTATAAATTGCTTATAATCCAGTACCTTCCCTTAAAAAGCTCTCACCACCATTTCTTATATATTCTCTGCACAACTAACTCTAGGGTTCATCAATTGGAACCCCTTCACCTCCACTTTGTTATTTCTTTCTTCCCAACCTGAACCATTCTTCTGTATATTCTTGGTGAAATAAAGCTCAAACACACAATTTCTTATAAAACCCACAAGTTTTATTATATTTTCTTGAAAAAAGTTGAAATTCTTGGGAGGGTAAAAATGGTGGTGAAGAAGCCAAGAATAGTGATAATTGGGGCAGGAATGGCAGGGCTGACAGCTGCAAATAAGCTCTACAAATCCAGTGGTTCAAAAGGAGCATTTGAGGTGTGTGTTGTTGAAGGTGGGGATAGAATTGGAGGGAGGATAAAGACCTCAGAGTTTGGTGGTGATAGAATTGAGATGGGTGCTACTTGGATCCATGGAATTGGGGGTAGCCCAGTTCACAGAATAGCTCAAGAAATCAATTCCTTGGAATCAGACAAGCCATGGGAGTGTATGGATGGGTTTCTTGATGACCCAATCACCATAGCTGAAAATGGGTATGTATTAAATCCATCTCTTGTTGACCCTATCTCAAATCTCTTCAAGCATCTAATGGATTTTGCTCAAGGAAAAAGGAAATCAACTCCTTTTGGAATTGTGAATGGTGGGAATGGAATTGAGCATGGGAAGATGAGTGTTGGATCTTTCCTTAGAAAAGGTCTAGAGGATTACTGGGAACTTGAATCAAAAAAAGAAAGAGAGGAGGTGAATGGGAATGGGAATGGGAATTGGAATTGGAATAGGAAGTTGTTAGAAGAAGCAGTTTTTGCAATGCAAGAAAACACCCAAAGGACTTATACAGCTGCTAACGATTTGTTGAATCTTGATTACAATGCAGAGAGTGAATATATTATGTGTCCTGGTGAAGAAATCACCATTGCCAAAGGCTATTCAAGTGTTATAGAATCATTGGCATCTGTATTACCATCTGGGATCATTCAATTAGGCAAAAAAGTTCGAAAAATCGAGTGGCAGCCTGAATATGAAGTGGGAATTACAAAAAATGGTCATGATGGTACAAGACCAGTGAAGCTACACTTTCTTGATGGTACAACTCTATCAGCAGACCATATTATCATCACAGTTTCATTAGGTGTTCTCAAAGCCGGAATCCGCGAATTCAATGATTCGGGTATCTTGAAATTCCATCCTCCACTCCCAGATTACAAGATTGAAGCCATTTCAAGACTTGGGTATGGTGTTGTTAACAAGCTTTTCTTGCAACTAAGTCCTGATTCCTGGGCTGATTTTGACCGATTCCCATTTCTACAACTGGTATTCCACCAAAGCGATTCCGAATTCAAGAACCCGAAAATCCCAGATTGGATTAGGAGGACAGCTTCTGTTTCACCAATTTATAAGAAATCCAGAGTGTTATTATCTTGGTTTGCAGGTGAAGAAGCACTTAAGCTAGAAACACTTCCAGATGAAGTGATTCTTGATGAAGTTTCCACAACTTTATCGACCTTTTTGTCGAATTCACACGATTCCCATCAACAATCCAATGGGAATATGATCAAAAACTCCTCAAAATTGAAACTTTCTAAGGTTTTGAAGAGTCAATGGGGGAATGATCCACTCTTTATGGGTTCATATAGTTATATTGCAATTGGATCAAGTGGTAGTGATATTGACACATTGGCTGAGCCATTGCCCAAATCAAGTGATTCCCCCCAACTTCAAATCCTCTTTGCAGGGGAAGCTACACATAGAACTCATTACTCTACAACTCATGGCGCTTATTTTAGTGGTCTTAGAGAAGCCAATAGGCTTCTTGAACACTATCATTGTATGGATTAGAACACTATGGAGGAGGGTTATTTTTGTCATTTCTTTCTTTGATTTCTATATTTTTTGAAATACCCTTTTCTCTAGTGACTATCATTCTCAATGTTGGGGAATGAAAGGGAGAGATGGAGACATTTGCAAGATGGGTAGTGAATGAATTATAAAGAAGCTTCTTTTTTAGTTTTCTATTGCACTTGTTTGATCTCCTTTAGATTTTGTTATTATGTTTGTAATTATCTTTTAAGTGAACCGTTTTCTCGATATCTGAATCCACATTTCTGAATTCAAGCTATGCAAAAAGGGGTTAGTCTATCTTCGCTTAACCCCTTTCCCGATATCTGAATTCAGGTTTTGAATTCGAGCCATGGAAGAACCCTTTTCCCAATATCTGAATTCAGGGTTTTTGAATCCGAGTCATGGGAAAAGGGGTTAGCTTATCCTCGATGAACCCTTTTCTCGATATCTGAATTCAGGTTTCTGAATTCGAGCCATGGAAAAAGAACTCTTTAACCGATATCCGAATTCAGGTTTTTGAATTCGAGCTATCGGAAAAAGGGGTTACCTTATCTTTCGCATCTCAAAATACGTTACATTTAAAGATTAAGATTATATTTAAGCGAATCTTTTTTTCCAAAATTGAAATTCATCATTGAAAACAGTGTTATTTTGAATTCGTATTATCAATTAAAAACTATATGTTGCTTTAGCTTTAAGAATTTTGAGCTTTGGAGAAAAGGATTGGCTTATTGTTATAGTTTGAATAAGCTCACGTGGAAGATAAAGTGGAAGTGCTTGTGACGGAAGGTTTAGATATCGTTATCTTAATGGACACGAACCGACGAAACCGGCACTTTATTGTTTGGATTTTTCAAGCTTTTGTGTCCCTTTTTTGTCTTTAAGTTGGTCTATGTTTTCTTTATGTCTCTTATTGACAAAAGACTCAATAGCTTCAAGAAATACTGATTATGGATAAATTATGAGAAAATAAATTAATTATGACGCATTTCGGCCATTACTGTAATATTTTCTTAGTTTTATTTCAAGTTCTCCAAAACTAATGATTTGTTTGTAACAAAAAGATAAGTACGACTATATGACAAGTCAGATATTTTTTTTATAAAATTTGGAGCAATCAGTAGTTGTAATTATTGTAGCTATGATGGTTGGAACGAAAATATTTAAGCTTTCCAAGTATAATTTTGTAATAATATTTTAGCAAAAGATAAATTGACAGTATAGTTTTATACTATTTCAGACATGTACTTGAACAAGAAATCATCTATCTCTATATCTTTTAGGGATCTATTTGTTGACAGCTTAATGAGTTCAATGAGACTTACAACTTATTCGTTGAGCTATACATGACAGTTTGGTAGTGATTTAATGATATAAAAAGTGCCTTATTTACTAAGACATAACTTTATGCAGAAAGCCAAGTCTGTTCCAAACCTGTCACTTATAACTAAAACATGTTTATTCCATCTATGAAAAACCTTCTAAAACAAAAAAACTTTTCAATCTATACAAACAGATTAATCCATACAGACAACTTATATTTTTGTATTCTGATTTTTGCAAGGTAGAACAACCATATTTGAACCAACCATATGTGGTTCAGTTACGGATTTCATTTTTTTTTTAATAAATCAAATCTTGGCTGTTGAACGGATTTCATGTTTTTTCAACAGCCGATTTGATTTGAATTTTTTTAAATCTAAAAATAACATCGTTTTAGGTTTATATTTTTCACAATTTGAATTTTTCAAAATATTTGAAATTTTTTGATCTTTCGCCTATATATTTGTAAATACTAGAAGTGTACTCGCGCAATGCAGCGAGATATATCGTGATTTTAATATTTCATTCTATTCTTTATTTCAGTCGATGTTATAATATGACTTTATTCTGTTAGAATTCAATGATTATCCTAATTATATTTTAGATTTTTTATATTTAAAATGAGATTTTATCTTGTATTTGATTGTGTTTATCTGCAGTTAGTTACACGAATTCAGATATGGGATGAAATCGGATAGGGATGAAATGTTTAAGAGTTTTAGCCAAATGCTTTATAATATAGTATATATATGTTAATTTTCATTTATCTTGATTATTTGGTAAAAGAAACAATAAACAATTTATTAAGGATAAATTGATCATTTATTATCATATCTAGTTTTTATCTTAGCAAACGTTCAATAATTATTCTAATTATATTTTAGATTTTTTATATTTTAAAATGAGATGTTCATTCTCTATTTAATTATGTTTATCCGCAGTTATTTATACGAATTCAAACATCGAGCTTTAATAAGTTGTACTTATGCATAATTA